TTTTGGACAAAGTAACTTATTGCGCACCGATCAGAGCAGAAATCGCACAACAATAGATTTACAAGGGACAACAAAGTTTACCCTCTAGAGTACCATCCAAATACATGGCTGACCCTGCTACTCGACTTACCTTTAATCACCGCACTATCCAAAGGAAACTGGAAAAGCGTAAAGTAAATGATAACTGCAGTCGTCTGAGGTTAGGTCAATTGTACATCTGGTGAATAAAATGCATTACGGTGAACGCAGAATAGACTTATCGCCATTGAATACGGTTTGTGAATTACTGTTGCTCTGCATGCAACCTTGGATAAGTGAAGAATGAAAATACACGTATAAACAAAATCCGCGGCTATCGCCAGTGTGATGTGGGTAACGTATGGAAATGGATGTTTTCACTCTAATATCCCGAAGCTCCCGCAAACTGAATCAAAACCGTAAGCGCTTCAATCGGTGTCTCTATATTTCTATTATATTTTATTACACACCTGTCTGGACCCAAAATATATGTCAAACAAATCAGGGATATACGCTTGTTAGTTACAAACGTGTCAACCCTTATTTTTCTCCCACTGTTTGTCAGTAGTATAACCAGTGAATGAAATCAATTATGCATATGCGTTCCTACTTGTTTTATCAGTACGAACAGTTACTCTCCAAGATGTCTGGTCCGTACACAGGTGATCATTATTTGAAATTTAGAAGAGAGATGGTGAGACATAATACGATGTTCAAGAAAACATCACGTTCCCCATTGCGAATTCTATTATTATTATTATTGCTGTTCCGTTGTTATTTTGATTTTTGTTTCGATCACTCCGTTGTTAGGTGCTTTTATCATCAACGAGCCTGGATCAGTGTGTGGTTGTGGACTGTGTTGCGGTGGTAAGCAGCCCTGCTGTTCCCCAGCTCACTACCACGCTCAACTGATTGCGGCCATATGTTTACCACTCCTGGACCCAGGTTTGGGTTGCTAGTTTTCTCTTACCCGATAAATGTACTATACAACGCACATAAGTCACAGCATGCGCAATCTACCTAAGAACTCACAGCATTCCATAACCCTCAATAACACTGATAGTGTCAGTCAAAATGTGACTTCTATACAGCACTTTCTCTAATCTTCTTCCCCATTGACTATTCTTTTTGACAACGATAAAAATCTCTCCTTTGTCAGACACCACTAATTTTCTGTTCCCTAATTACTTCCTCCATTCTTCTATTCTTCTTAAAGTTGTTGCTTGCCTCTATATCCATCATTCTGTCTCGTTTTACCGACTTTCTCATCTATACTATTCCAGCCAAGAATTCCAGGTTGTTTCTGAAAATTCGGTTCCCTTCTTACAACCACTATTTTCTACTGTTTATCGCCCTCCAAGCAGCAGCGATCTTTCTATTTCGGTGTTTTATACTCCAACACTGATACACAAATGGCAGCAGATCCTTACTGTCAAACTAACATCGTCAAAGATTTCAATGTCCACAACAAGGAATGGCCGAAGCATTCCTCAGACACTACCTTCATAAGATGCGAAGCCGAGGCTTTTGCATTGGTCAGCAACCCAAGTCAGTATCCCTGATCGTATTGATGATAGCGACCACACCCTTGACCTCATTCTCTCATTCATTGCCTCTTCTTTATCCAAAATCACTTCCTTTTCTCTTTTAGGCTCTATAGACTATGGCCTCATTGCCTTTCTCACTCATTTCTCGTTACGCTATTTCACTACCCAAATCCAGATACACCTTTTGAAGTTACGATTGAGGACGGTTTTCTTGATTTTCTGGCTTCTTATCCCTTGAAGGATTATTGTTTTCAATCTGATAATTCCATATCTGTTTCAAACTTCACGGAGATTGTTCTTCAAGGCATCTTTAAATTCCACACTTCTCCAAACCCGGCAAACCAGATCCCTTGAGTGGTTAAATCACGCTTACAACTGTACTGTACGTTTTAAAAACTCAGAATTCCGTCATTGACGCTACTCGCCCAGATCTAGCATTCCACAACCGCTTCTTTCAAAACAAAAACCAATGCTCACTCTGTCAGGAAGGATTTTCAACAACCCGTTCGATAGCGCACCCCTCAGAGTCTGGCCACACGCACGCTTGCAACGCTTCATACAGACTGAACCTTATTGGATGATTACAGAACGTGTCAGCCAATGTTTGTCCAATCGATCAGTCGACCAGCAAAGATGCAGTCTGATTGGTACATCACTGCGCCGTTCTCGTATGCGCGATTTGTCCTATATATTTGCGTGTCGATATATAATCCAGGATTACACCTGTGTTCTTTCTCTCTCAGCATTATCACTGGGGTTAAGCAAGAGTCGCTCGTGTCATTCGTACGTCTAGTCCAAACACAACACACTCACCACAGAATGAGCAAGGGAACACTTAATTCGTCACAAGCTGCTCGCGTGGCTCCTTCCGCCATCAGTAACCGAACAACCTAGTCCCTAGCTTGAACGGTTTCTCATAATTTCTACCCCTCCAAATTTCCTCCAATTTACAATTCCTCTGGTACACTTGTTTGTGAACCCCACGAAGAGACAAAAATCTTCTCTTCCCAGTTTGCCGCTAAATCCACGTTATATGCCATCTCCACTTTTCAACTCTCTTCCTATACATCCAGCTCCTCTTTTCTATCTAACATCACAACCAGAAAAGTCCGCCAAAATCTTTGTGATTAAGATGTTTATGAACCACCCGGTCCAGGACAGTATTCCACCTTTTGTCCTAGAAGTATGTACCCCGAAGTTAACCCTTGTTCAACGCCCCTTTACTATTCTTCACTTGATCTTAACTCTTTACCTAGTGCATAGAAAATTTCCATTAATTTTACTTTCCCAAAGCACGATGACCCTCTGTCTCCACCAACTATGGTCCCATCGCCCTCACTTTTGTAATTTTTAAATTGTTTGGAATCATTTCATGCGAATATCTGCGTACGTTCCTCTAATGTGGGTGTTTGGATGATCATCAAGATGGATGTCGATGTACGGTGGACATACTGGCGTTCACATCATATTCCTCGTCAACTGCGCTCGATAACCACGGGGAAACCCACATTGTCACGCTCGATATTTCAAAGGCCTTCGTTTGGCATGAAGGTCTGCTGTTAACATTAACAACGGTTGGGTTCCACTCGTCTCCAGTGTTGTGACTCCAGTAATACTTCAACAATCAAGCTATCTCTGTCCGAGGAGATGAGGTTCTATCTCGGCCATTACCTGTGAACGCCAGTGTTCCCCTCGTTTTCCTACTTTCACCCACTCTCTTTCTTCTGTTTTTCAACGATCTTTTGTCCAAAACACCTTATCCCACTTACTGCTTTTCCGTTGTTCTCTTCCTTACCCTACAAACCATCTGGCTTTTACCAATATCGATTACGATCGTAATTTCGTTAATGCTTCTCTTGCCTCCAATCTCGGACTCATCTCCAAATGGGGTCCTACCAAATACGCGTGTTCCATTGCCTCCAAAACTCTTCGCTCCGTCTCTCTTAAACGTGTCCTTCATTCTCATCAATTGATTTTTGACTCTCTTCGTTCCACAAACGACCTCTCCTGGGTTTATCCACACACTTTTCTCTCTGTTGGTTCACTTTTATGTCCACACTGGACTCTCGCTACGCATAAAGTTATTATTTTATTCCGCGCAAGTGCTTCTTTGCACACAAACACCGTCTCCTTTTACACAAATCTCAGATCCTCGCAATGCTCGAATACTATAGACACATATGAAGTAGAGGTTGTATTTCACTCTATCTCTGTTTGACCGTCCGACTGATTACAGAACCGTCTTTCCCTTCCAATCTGCAGTCTTGTTCCCATCGCAGGACAGTTGGTGCGTTACACCTTTTCTGTCGTTATTTTTTTGTTTTCTGCTATTCCTAACCCGCTTCAGGTGTTCACCTCCGATTGTCCTTTCTTCGCTCATTTCGTTCTAAGGCAAGTAGTACTGCTTATCAGGTTTCTATCCTCAGGTGTCAGATATCTATCTACCAATCTTTTTTTTACCGAGGATTGCAAACTTGTGGATTATTGTTCCCATTTTCGGGTTTCAGAACCTTCATAATTGTGCTTTTTCCAAAAGTAGAATTAATAACTTGATTTTGACTTGAATGTGCCCCCAAATATCTTCCCCTTACAGTATGTCATTGATTATGATGTTTATCCCTCTTGCTGTAAATCACTTTGTGTTTAATCAAATGGTCGCGAAAATAAACCTCATTCGGAGGGAGAACAGTGAATCAAAGCGTGATGTGTATATACACAATAAAAATCAATACAATTGTTAAAAGGTTTCAGAGGAGCAATTTGATTGACATTCTGCTGTTTTTTAGGACAATGGGTTGACTGCGACCATTTCCTTTCCTGTGCAAAGTTAACTGAACTTTTTCACTTTGTTTGTACAACCACTAAACATGCAATTTAGTGCGCCAGATTTGGTTTCTGTCGTAGACACGCAACTCTCGAATAGTTCAGTGAGAATCTTGTAGCTTATCCGTTAGCACACCTTAACATCTCTCCTTTTTATACTACCATTGTGATGTACATTGTGCTCTTCAAAAATGGTCTAAACAGGGGTGATTACTTAGTGCCGTTGTTTGTAAGCATTCCAGCATCTGTCGGTGTGGCATCATCTGAACCCATGGGTTGGTAACAATTGCGTAAGGTATTTCAGGATCATGATAAAGACGCTTGGTCGTCTTCAACCTCTTCAAAAGCAGCATTGCGAACAAAGGTCGTGTCTCTACAAGTGGACCCTAAGCACAGAGACTAATCTATTCAAAAAAGCAGTACACCAGTAATAAACACTACACTTAGACAACCCTATGTAGAAGGTATACAAGGAAATCAATTACCATCTCTTTTGTCTTTGTGCGACACGGTGAAAATAGTAAAATAATTTTGATTTTTTATCCCCTTGTTTGATTTTTTAAACGAATTTGAAAATTGCTGACACCTCTTATTATTCTTTTTACATTTAAGGTCGGCGCCCCACTTTTGCGCCAACGCCTTGCCCAACAGCTCCTTCAAAACGGATCGCCGCAAGCCCACGTGCATTATCTACAAATGCACGACGACGAATTCCAAAATGAATAACCATACCATGTAGCATCGTGCTATGAGGGGCGTCATTTTTCCCACCAGTAGCGCATGCAACGACGATTCAAAAAAGGCTTCAGACTTATTTTTTTCTGATCATAATACATACACGGTTGGAATCGAATCTTGGCGATACAATTTAGGATTTTATTAATGCACATGCACTCATTTACTATGCACCGCTGACTGATCGTCCTTGATTAAGTACAGGAATGCATGTATGGCTTCATGCCATCAAATATAGAGTGCTTCAAATCCAATATATTATCTCTTATCCGAAAAAATGAATTTTTCCTTAGTGATATCAATGAAATTTCACACTAAGTTAGCTCATTCCACAGACCGGTGGTTTGGATGTGGAGCGTGAGTGCGCGTCATTTTCGTGCAATGCATATCGGTTGTGCCCGTTCTCCCACCCACACTGTGCCCCCATTTGCTCCGTTCTCCTTCGCCCGGTTGCTGTCAAGATCGCTACGTTAACTACCTAACTTCGATTGATTGACTAAGCTCGCTGGTCGACCGGACAGCACATGTTGTTCAGTCAGCAATTCCACTTGTTTGACACAGTGGTAACCGTTGATCACGGTTACCCAAGAACATGCATATGAACATCCTCATAAGTGACCATGTTGTTCACAGTCACCTCTTCTGTTTGACTGACCGATAATAGGTTCACTGGCTGAGGCTGCCAGTGGCTGGCATTCGCACTCGACATTTGAAATACTACAAATTTGTTGGTGCCATTGGAGGTACCATCAACCTGAAATTGCATATGCATGCTCAGTCGTTCTGGAAGTAATTTTGAGCATTTTTTGTATTTATATTCCACACACATCTGATGCCAGACCGTGGGAGCATAAGGTACTTTCATCAAAAAGTTCGTGCAATCTACCTGTTGATTTATTGAAAAAGAGTGACAATGTAAATATTTATTCTTTTTCGCAAATTGGGAGTAACAACTGATGAAACAACCGAACTGATGGCTTTTAATGTGCGCTCGAATCAGAATGCTAGAGTACCAACTGGCAAGTCCAACGATCCCGTTAGCAACTGCGAAATTGAATGGAACATGTATGGGGCCAAGTGCGAATGCGGGCGCACAGTCAAAACGTGGAGCACATTCAAGACCCCGTCTGTCACTCTCAGGATTAGAAGCTAATAATCGCAACAAACGCTACTGAAGCAACTTTATTGAGTGTTTGATAATAAGTAGAATATGAATGAAGATACAATTTCCCTGGCAGAACAAGACTGATATCGCGGTTGTTGCCGCCCGTCATGCATGCGCATCCAATAGTCCGTTGTCACTTCCACTTAAACTCTTGTAATCGGGGAATGTAATTTTCTCAAAAATATGCTCGTTGGAAACGACGGTTAAATAATCCACATACAAATCATCGAAACATAGCATTCATTTTCAATGTACTGGTTTTGGACGAGCAGGCAAACAAATTTAACTGCTGTTGCAAATAAGGACATTGTGATGAATATACATATATTTCACAAAAAGTGGTATGTGAATGCCTGGATGAAACCCCCCTGGAAGCACACGAAGGTTTTTGCCGTTCTGGTCGCCCGTTGAGTATGCATATTGAGTAATTGTTTACTAGTTCATTCATATGCTTGTACCCATGAAGTGTATTTTCGTTACAGTAACCGTGTTTGCAACACCGGGTGACTATTGGATGGATAGCTCTTTCAGAGCCAGTGCATTGAAGAATCAACGCCATGTTTCGATGCTTTGTGAGTTGGTTGCATGCTACCAACCGTAACAAACATGTCCCGATGATTTTCGTTGAATATTTCACAATAAGTAATATGTGAATTACTGCACAAAATTTCCCTGGCGGCACACGATAGGTACCGCGGTTCTTGCCGCTTGTCAGGCATGCATATCCGGTAATCTTATTCACTTTTCAAATTGAACGAAATCCTCCATTCCTCACTTGAAAGTTATATATATATATATATATATACATATATATATATATATATATATGTAAAATTCAAGGGAGGAATGAAGGATTTCGTTCAATTCGAAAAGTGAATACGTCTTGTATAAAACAA